TTTTATATATATATATATATATATACACATACACATATACACAGATACATATACAGGATACTGTCGTCACCCACCAGTGTAAACACTTTAATGGTTTGATTGAGAAACAGAGTTTCCACGTCTTCAGGTAAAGGCAGAAGATTCGCAGCACATTCTAAGATGCAGAGAAGTGTCTGTCTGTGTCCCTGCAACAGACAGTTTTCTGTTTAATACATTATTAGCCTGTACTCCAGGGTCTGTACCTTTGACACGGTCCAGAGTCTGTACCTTTGACACGGTCCAGAGTCTGTACCTTTGACACGGTCCAGAGTCTGTACCTTTGACACGGTCCAGAGTCTGTACCTTTGACACGGTCCAGAGTCTGTACCTTTGACACGGTCCAGAGTCTGTACCTTTGACACGGTCCAGAGTCTGTACCTTTGACACAGTCCAGAGTCTGTACCTTTGGCAGAGAGTCTGTACCTTTGACACAGTCCAGAGTCTGTACCTTTGGCACAGTCCAGAGTCTGTACCTTTGGCACAGTCCAGAGTCTGTACCTTTGACACGGTCCAGAGTCTGTACCTTTGACACAGTCCAGAGTCTGTACCTTTGGCAGAGAGTCTGTACCTTTGACACAGTCCAGAGTCTGTACCTTTGGCAGAGAGTTTGTACCTTTGACACAGTCCAGAGTCTGTACCTTTGGCAGAGAGTCTGTACCTTTGACACGGTTCAGAGTCTGTACCTTTGGCAGAGAGTCTGTACCTTTGACACAGTCCAGAGTCTGTACCTTTGGCACAGTCCAGAGTCTGTACCTTTGGCACAGTCCAGAGTCTGTACCTTTGACACGGTCCAGAGTCTGTACCTTTGACACAGTCCAGAGTCTGTACCTTTGGCAGAGAGTCTGTACCTTTGACACAGTCCAGAGTCTGTACCTTTGGCAGAGAGTCTGTACCTTTGACACAGTCCAGAGTCTGTACCTTTGGCACAGTCCAGAGTCTGTACCTTTGACACGGTCCAGAGTCTGTACCTTTGGCAGAGAGTCTGTACCTTTGACACAGTCCAGAGTCTGTACCTTTGGCAGAGAGTCTGTACCTTTGACACAGTCCAGAGTCTGTACCTTTGACACGGTCCAGAGTCTGTACCTTTGACACAGTCCAGAGTCTGTACCTTTGGCAGAGAGCTCAGGGCCTGTTGTGAGTTGACGCTGGAGTCACTGAGCGCCTTCACGTCGTCCTTGCGGATGATTGGCTCCTTCAGCTGCTGTAGCCACGCCCACATGAGCGCCGCCAGCACCAGGGGGTCTCTCTCCGTCCACAGGCGCTCCCAGGCGCCCTCTCTGCAGTTCAGCTCCGTCTGAGGAAACATGTGACATCACTTCTCACTAACATCACTTTTACACAGTTGAGGCTCGTCATTTAAATTGCAATAAAAATAATAATAATATATTTGTGATGCACCTTACATAATGTTCAAACTGTACAACGAACACATTTATTAGTGATGAAAACAGACCTGCCACAGTGAGACCTTGGAGTCCAGGTCTGGGTCCGTCAGGTCCAGGGCCAGAGCTTTGGCCACGAGGAGAGCCCTGCTGTGAGGAGGAGGCTCAGGCTGAAGGCTCCTCACGGGGACGGCTCCTGAGTCTCCTTGTTCTTCTCCGTGTGAGGTCTGTGCTCTGTAGAAGGTCCTCAGAGGCTCAGACAGGTCCAGGGACAGGCTCTGATGGCCTTTCTGCAGACGCTTCCTCAGGAACGGAGACTGTGCTTCTGTTGGAACGTCTGTGTCTGGAATCTGCAGTCTGCAGAGGTCTGAGAGAGGCGGGTCCCACGGGCTGAAGCTCAGAGCGGTCTTCTGCACACACAGGTCTTCACATTGAAGCTTGTGGTCTTCACACTGAGGCTTGTGGAGGTCTTCACACTGAGGCTTGTGGAGGTCTTCACACTGAGGCTTGTGGAGGTCTTCACACTGAAGCTTGTAGAGGTCAGAGTCACTGAAGCTCAGGCCTTTGTTTGCAGAAAGACAGAGTCTCAGAGGGATGTTCCAGTCCAGCTCAGTGTCGCTGACCAGAGGCTGGTCCTCCAGACAGCGGGGCTGGAGCAGGCCGGGGCAGGGCATCTGGGAGAAACAGGGAGACACAGGAATGCCCTTTCCTCTCAGCTCGTTCCCCAGCTGCTGCAAGGCCTGCTGGGACACTGTCTTCTCCACTTCAGCAGTGAGGTCAGGGAGTTCCTGCCACGGCTCCTCTCTCTGCGCCGGGCGGTTGTGGGCGATGTCCGAGAGCAGCTGACACACGAGCTGGACGATCTTCGGCACATGTCGGAGGTGGCGCGCCTCGTAGCCGTGCAGCAGGTGGCGCTGTCGAGTCAGGTACTGCTCCAGAGTCACGGAGCTGCTCTGAGGCTCAGAGAAGACGCTGCGCAGAGGGACCAGGAACTGAGCGAACTCCCGCACACACAGCAGCTGGCCTCGCGTCTGGATGGAGTTGGGTCTTTTGGCTCGAACGAACAGGATGGCCTGGTC